TTCTGGGTTCCTAAGTCATTGATGGTTGCTCAGTGAGAGGTATTTCACACAACTGTATCATTTCTTAGAGGTAAAGATGCCACACCAGGAGAAATTGCGAGTTTCATGGACAATGCAGGTCCGTGGGGAGAGTGAAATATCTTTTCAGCAGTTCCACAGAGTGGTTTTACCTTTCAAGAGTGCATTCATAGAAGGGATGGGTTATTATTTCATTTTAAGTACTTCTAATGCTTGCTTATGAGTCTTTTGTGTTTTAAGCATTTCTTTTGTAGTAGTGGAAACACTTGTTATCTACTTTGTACATTGAATGAATACCTTTTCTAGAAGGGACTTTTTTTTAAATATAAATTTATTTATTTTTAGTTTTCAACATTCACTTCCACAAGTTTGTGAGTTCCAAATTTTCACCCCATCTCCCCCCTCCCCCCACCCCAAGATGGCATGCATTCTGAATATCCCTTCCCCTAGTCTGTTCTCTCTTCTATCTCTCTCCCCTTCTCTTATCCCCTTCCCCTTCTATTTTCCTGTAGGGCAGGATAGACTTCTGTACCCCATTTCCTATATTTCTTATTTCCCAGTAGCATGTGAAAAAATATTTTTTAAAACATATGTTTTTAAAATTTTAGGTTTCAAATTTTCTCTCATCCTCCCTCCCTACCCACCCTCATTGAAAAGGCAAGCAACTCAATATAAGTTGTACATATACAGTTATGCAAAACACATCCGTAGTAGACATGTTGTGAAAAACTAACTCTATTTCCCTTAATCCTATCCTGCCCTCCCATTTATTCTATTCTTTCTTTTGACCCTGTCCCTCCTCAGAAGTATTTACTTCTGATTACCCCCTTTCCCAATCTGCCCTCCTCTCTATCATCCCCCTGCTCTCTTGTCCCTTCTCCCCCTATTTTCCTGTAGGGTAAGAGATTTCCATACCCAATTGAATGTGTATGTTATTCCCTCCTTAAGCCAAATCCTATGAGAATAAGATTCACTCATTCCCTCTCACCTTCCCCTTTCCCCTCCACTGTAAGAACTTTTCTTTTCTGTTTTTTTTGTGAGATAATTTACCCCATTCTACCTCTCCCTTTCTTCTTCTCTGAGTATAATCCTCTCTCATCCCTTAATTTTATTCTCCAGATATGACCCCTTAATCTTCAGTCACCCTGTGCCCTCTATCTATCTATCTACATATATACATACATATAATTTTTTCCCTCCAACTACCCTAATACTGACAAAGGTCTCATGAGTTATAAATATCATCTTTCCATGCAGGAATGTAAACAGTTCAATCTTAATAAGTCTCTTATGATTTCTCTTTCCTGTTTACCTCTTCATGTTCCACTTGAGTCCTGTATTTGAAAGTCAAATTTTCTATTCAGCTCTGGTCTTTTCATCAAGAATGCTTGAAAGTCCTCTATTTCTGAATACCATTTTTTCCCCTGAAGGATTATACTCAGTTTTGCTGGGTAGGTGATTCTTGGTTGTAATCCTATCTCCTTTGCCCTCCAGAATATTATATTCCATGCCCTGTGGTCCTTTAATGTAGAAGCTGCTAAATCTTGTGTTATCCTGATTGTGTTTCCACAGTACTTGAACTGTTTCCTTCTGGCAACTTGTAATATTTTCTCCTTGACCTGGGAACTCTGGAATTTGGCTACAATATTCCTAGGAGTTTTCCTTTGGGGATCTCTTTCAGGAGGAGATCTGTGGATTCTTTCAATTTGTATTTTGCTCTCTGGTTCTACTATATCAGGTCAGTTTTCCTTGATAATTTCTTGAAAGATGATGTCTAGGCTCTTTTTTTGATCATGGCTTTCAGATAGTCCAATAATTTTTAAATTCTCTCTCCTGGATCTATTTTCCAGGTCAGTTGTTTTTCCAATGAGATATTTCACATTGTTTTCTAATTTTTCATTCTTTTGGATTTGTTCTACTGTGTCATGATTTCTCATAAAGTCACTATCTTCCAATTGCTCTATTCTAATTTTTTTTTTTGCTTTTTAGGCAATTGGGGTTAAGTGACTTGCCTAGGGTCACACAGCTAGTTAAGTGTCAAGTGTTTGGTCTGAGGCTCGATTTGAACTCAGGTACTCCTGACTTCAGGGCCGGTGCTCTATCCACTGTGCCACCTAGCTGCCCCGCTCTATTCTAATTTTTAAGGAAGTATTTTCTTCAGTAAGCTTTTGGACTTCCTTTTTCATTTGGCCAATTTTGCTTTTTAGGGCATTCTTCTCCTCATTGGCTTTTTGGACCTCTTTTGCCATTTGGGTTAGGCTATTTTTTAAGGTGTTATTTTCTTCAGTATTTTTTTGGGTCTCCTTTAGCAAGATGTTGACTTGTTTTTCATGATTTTCTTCCATCACTCTCAGTTTTTCCTCTACTTCCCTTACTTGCTTCTCAAGATCCCTTTTGAGGTCTTCCAAGGCCTGGGACTGATTTATATTTTTCTTGGAGGCTTTGGACGTAGGAGCTTTGACTTTGTTGTCTTCTTCTGGTTGTATATTTTGATCTTCTTTTTCACCAAAGTAAGATAATATAGTCTGACTCTTTTTGTGGTGCTTGCTCATGATCCCAGCCAATTACTTGAGTTTTAAACTCTTTGTTAAGGTAAGAGTCTGCTTCCAATGTGGAGAATGTACTGTCCCAAGCTTCAGGGGTTTGTACAGCTGTTTTCAGAGATACTTGTAGGGACCTGTAAATTTTCAGTTCTTCCAAGGTGGTATGATAAGGGGTGAGGTGTTTACTCCTTTCCTGGCTTGTGAGCACAGGTACTCCTTTCTGTCCTGTAACTGTGAGGAGGGGGTTCCTCTCCACAGCCACTACAAGCTCCACCAAGCCAGCGCTCCTCCTCACCCCGGCACCGCCTCCCAGAACTGTGGCCCAGATCCAAACACGGGCAAAGCAAGAGATTCCTGCCTCAGCACTGGCAAAGAGATCCCTGCAATCCCTCTCTGATCAGCCACTGGATTCCCCCTCAATCTGTGGGCCAGAAGCTTGGGAAGCAGCTGCCCCCACCAGGGCCAAGCTCTTGGGGAATGGAGCTGAGACCCCGCCTTCCTTTCTCAGCACCGACAGAAACAGACTTTTCCCACTGACCTTCTAAGTTGTCTTTGGCATTGGTGGATTGAGGAGTCTGGAAACCTCCACAGCTGCCTGAGATTCAGTCCTCTGAGGCCTGCTCCAGCCAGGCTGCGCTGCGCTCCCAGCCCAGTGCAATACACCTTTCTGATCAATCATCCAGGTTGTCTTGGGCTGGAAATTTGTTTCACTCTGCCTTTTTGTGGGTCCTCCTGCTTCAGAATTTGTTTAGAGCTATTTTTTTATGAGTATTTGGAGGGGTTTGGAGGACAGCTCAAGCAAGTCACTGCTTTCACTCTGCCATCTTGGCTCCGTCCCCTAGAAGGGACATTCTTAATCCTTTTTTGGGAAAGACTCTAGACATGAGCCATTTTGACTTATCTTGGTATACAGTGTGAGGAGTTGGTCTATACCTAGTTTCTGCCAAATTGCTTTCCAATTTTCTCAGCAATTTTTGTCAAATAGTGAGTTCTTGTCCCAAGAGCTTGGATCTTGGTGTTTATCAGGCTCTAGATTACTATGGTCATTTACTATGCATTGGGTACCTAATCTATTCCATTGATCCATCACTGTATTTCTTAGGCAGTACCAGATTGTTTTGATGATTAGTGCTTTGTGATACAGTTTGAAATCTGGTGGGGCTAGGCCACCTTTCTTCACATTTTTTTCATTAATTCCATTGATATTCTTGACCTTTTGTTCTTCTAGATGAATTTTGTTATTCTTTTTTCTAGCTCTATAAAATAATTTTTGGTAGTTTGATTGGCGTGGCACTGAATAAGTAAATTAATTGAGATAGAATTGTCATTTTAATTGTATTGGCTTGGCCTCCTCATGAGCAATTAATGTTTAGATCTCACTTTATCTGTGTTTATCTGCGTGAAAAGTGTTTTGTAATTCTGTTCATATAATCCCTGGGTTTGTCTTGGCAGGTATACTCTTCAGTATTTTATACTGTCTAGTTATTTTAGATGGAATTTCTTTTTCTACCTCTTGTTGTTGGACTTCGTTGGTTTTTATATATATATATATATATATATATATATATATATATATATATATATATATATATATATATATATACACACACACATATACATATATATGTATATATATACACATATACATATATATATGTATACACACACGTATACATATATATAATATATATACACATATATACATATATATACACATATATACATATATACACATATATACATATATACACATATATACATATATATACACATATATATGTAATATAAAGAAATGCTGATGATTTATCTTGCAACTTTGCCCAAGTTAATTATTTCTTCTAGTTTTTTAGTTGATTCTCTAAGATTCTCTAAGTATACTATCCTGTCATCTGCAAAGAGTGATGTTTTTGTTTCCTCATTGCCTATTCTAATTTCTTCTATTTTTTCATCTTCTCTTATCACTATCAAAGTGATTTTCCTAAAGCATAAGTTTGACCATGTGAACTCCCCACTTAGTAAACTCCAATGATTCCCTATTATTTCTAGGACAAAATAGCAACTTTCTTTGGCATTAATAGCTATTCTCATAGCTATATTTTCCCTACCTTTCCAGTCTTCTTTTCTTTTACTCCCCTTCACACACTTTATCATCCAATTATGCTAGACTACTTGCTGCTTTCCACCATGCCACTCCATCTCTTTATCTCATGCCTTCGTGCTGACTTTTCCCCATTCCTGGAATGCTCTCTTCTCCTTACCTTATTTTCCCTGGCTTCCTTCAAGATTAAAATCAAACTTCCTCTTCTGTAGAAGACCTTTCCTGATATTCCCCCTTTTCTGTCCAGCTTCTATCACCTTCCCTTTTGCTATTTCCTTCTCTCTAATCTTTACTATATCTTGTAAGTACCTAATTATTTTCCTGTTTGTCTCCCCTGTTAGAATGTGATCTCCTTGAGGATAGAGGCTCTTTCTGCTTCTCCTTGAATCCCCAGCATTTACCACAGAGCCTGGCACCTGGTAAGCATTTTATCAATGCTTGTTGACTACCTGAGTAGGGTCAGCATATTGGGACTGGTTTAGGTGTTCTCCCAGGTGAATTAGTACAAAATTAGGACTGCCTTGTTTGTAACAAGATGACAGATTTCCTACAAAAGGCCACAGGGTTCTGGTCCTGAGGAAAGGAAGCAAAGCCTGCCCACAAGGGGGCCAAAACCTAAAATATTAAATCATGCCAGTCCACTTCCTAGCGTCTGTCCAAGTACCACAAAACAACTGGCTGCACCACAGATTGTCTTCTTCTTGTGGGATTTGGAGGAAACCTAGAACTGGGCATGATTTGAGGCCATTCTTTGTTTTAAATCAGAGGGTGGACTATCCTCCGCATGCCTGTGGGGTGGCAGTGGGAAATAGGCTGTAATTCTCCTCATGTTGAGGTTAGGCCTAGTGACCAACAACTACACCCATGAGTGATCTAGAAATGACAGGCACATTGACACGATGGATGGTGTGTCTCAGTACTGACAATGGTCTGCGTTATTACGGTTGTGCCCCAACAAGGGAATATAAATGAAAGTAAGGGCAAAATGAACCATAATACGGGGACACGATGAGGTCTAGCGCTGTTTGTTAGTGTCTGCTTACCAGGAGAGTAGCTATATAACTTGCAATTGGCCCTATGTATCTTTGGACTGGACCAAAGAGGAAATTTCTCCACTGTGTGGAAATTTCTGTTTTTATTTTGGAATCCAGAATGTGGAAAGATCAAATAATTAGGCACCAGGAGATCTCCCTTTGACAGGGTGGCCTATTTGATGCACCCCTTCCTTCTGGATCACATCACCACCCTCTTGCAGATAACATGAGATGGAAATAGAAACTTAGATGGCCAGACATCAATGATAAGACCTTGAGCTCTTGTTACTGAGAATTGTACCTGGGATGCACCAAAGAAAACAATTCTACCATTACCTACAGATTATTTTCTGTGTCTTTGCTTTGGATTTTGTTAGGAGGTCTTATGCTTTTTTGCTCATTGTATGTGGCTTATTTAATGATGGAGTATAAATGAAAACAACTACAGTGACCATATCTGTGTATAATATCAGTTAAGAAGTGGAATGAGGCAGTCTGGTCAATTTATGCCCCTGCTCTAGAAGGAGGAGAGGAAACATGGAGACAGAAATAGCCAGAATGATTGAGGAGTTCAGGGAGCCAAGATGGCGGAGTAAAAGAAGTGACTTGCTTGAGCTCTACCCCAAACCCCTCCAAATACCTGTAAAAAATGGCTCTAAACAAATTCTAAAGCAGCAGAACCCACAAAAAGACAGAGTGATTGAGGAGTTCAAAAGTCTACTGAACTCCAAAGGAATTTTACCAATTATTTATTATGGAATATGCACTATTCCCTACCCATAGTCCCCTACATCTGTGAAGAAGAGAGGAAGATATATTTTTACCTTTGACCTTTTTGCAGCATTTTTTTTCTTTTCCTCTTTGTGTTTGTTCTTTCCTGCTTTTGATGAAGGAATCCTGGAAATGTCTCTGAACTTATAAGCTTCTAAAAGATCAGAATAGGGATTACCAGATGTCTGGGAGTGGAAGTCCATGCTGGGATTTGCTGGAATCCAGCTGGTGAGGAGTGAAGTGCCCAAGAAACCAGTTTGTCCCAACATGGCTCAAAGGCTACCAAGAGGGAGCTACAGAGAATCACCTATTGGCCCTGCCAAAATCAGAAGTAGATTTTATGGGCCACAGGCTATTGAAACTGCTTTAAGTTTGAGCTCACTCTCCCCGGGGACCAAAGTGCAATGTTGCTGTTATTCAGTTGTGTCTGACTTTTCATGACCTCAGTTGGGGTTTTCTTGGCAAAGATACTAGACTGGTTTGCAATTTCCTTTTCCAGCTTATTTTACAGATGAACTGAGGCAAAGAGGGTTAAGTGACTTGCCCAGGGTCATACAATTAGTAAGTGTCTGAGGCCGAATTTGAACTCAGGAAGATGAGTCTTCCTGGTTCCAAGCCCAGCGCTCTATTCACTACATTACATTTATGCATGAGTCAGAAGGGCAGTGTGTGCCCTCATGTTTCTTAAGGGGATGCTTTGTAACTTACATTCTTGGTATATTTCCATGCTAAAAGCTAGCTGATTTTATAAATGAAACTGGGTTTCTAATCAGTGGTGGAACAGGAAGAATACACCAGAATGGGAACTTGAGCAAATAGCATTAGAGAAAGAACTCTGAAGGGTAATATAGTTAGCCTTGCTCTGGGAGAGTATCTTCATTATTTATATTATTTTCCTTGATTTTCTTACTTCACCATGTATCAGTTCATATCCTCGTCTAGAAAACAAGGGAGATGGACTCAATAGCTTCTTTTTCAGCTATAAATCGATGCTCTTAAGGGATTTCTTCCTATTCTCTGTGTTCTTCACTATTTCTTATAATATAGTAATAGTTGAGTATACTCATGTACCACAATTTGCTTAGCCATTTCCCAGTCTAGGGGGAAACTTTGTTTCTAGCTCTTTACTACAACAAAACCAATCAATTAATCAATAAGCATTTTATTAAGTGATTATATGTACCAGTTTGTATGCTATACACTTGGAGATACACAGAAAAAGCAAAAATAGTCCCTGCCCTCAAGGAGCTTACATTCTTTTTTTTTTTTTTAGGCAATTGGGGTTAAGTGACTTGCCCAGGGTCACACAGCTAGTAAGTGTCAAGTGTTTGATCTGAGGCCTGATTTGAACTCAGGTCCTCCTGACTTCAGGGCCAGTGCTCTATCCACTGTGCCACCTAAGTGCCCCAAGGAGCTTACATTCTAAGTACATACAAGATAAATGCAGAGCATATAGAAGATAACCTTGGAAGTGATGACATGAGTAGTTGAGAGGGCGGGGCTAAGAAAGACCTCTAGGAAGAGTTAATACTTGCATTAAGTCTTAAAGGAAGCCAGGAATACTAAGAGTCAGAGGTTGGGAGAATCAACATTTCAACCATGAGGACCAGTCAATACAACAGAGACAGAAGACCAAATGTGTTCTCGAAACAGGTCTCTAATCCAGGTCAATATGCTGTTGCTCTTTGTCCTATAGAATGAGTGGATGGAAGTAAACTGTTAGAAGAATGGAAGGCAGAAAGGGACCAGGTTCTGAAGAGCTTTAAATGCCAAATAGAGAGTTTTGATCCTGAGGCCAGACAGGGAATCATTGGAGTTTATTGAGTAGGTGGTTGCCATGGTCAGATGACACTTTAGGAAAATGACTTTGGCAGCTGAGGCAAGGAGACCAATCAGAAGTCTATGGTAAAGTCTATGGCAGAGCTGACCAGCTCCTTGTTGAACTACATGTCTACTATGAGATGTCTCAGATCAGGACAAAAGGGACTTAGGCACAATGTTGCAGGTGGGTTCATGTCATCTTGATTTTTTACATTATAGCATCAACATCATGACTAAGTAAATTCACAATGAGTGTTGTCTTCCTTAGATCCAAATGTACTGTGATAGGTAGAGAATGTATTATTATCTCCATTTTCTCAATGATGAAATTGAGCCTCCAACAGGTGAAATATTATCTCACTATCACACAGCAGAATTGGAGATTGAATTCAGTTCTTCTGACTGACTCCAGGCCTAATGTTCTTATAACATTTAGTTGCCATCAGGCAGCAGGGTCAGACTAATGAGCTGAAATGTATTTGTCTACTAAAAGGCCCTCAGAGGCTGAACCAACAGACAGTTGTGTGTCCTCATGCATCACGTCTTCCTATGATCTTTAATTTGTAAGTCTGATTTTAGTCCAGCAGCCTCTCTTCCTGGGCTCATATAGGAACATAATGTATTAAAAGCGAATGCAGTGTCTGCAAAGTGCCATCTAAATGCTAATTAGCAATGATATCCATCTCAGGCCTCTCTCTGTGGAGGTGATGGTTTTGGCAAAAGCTTGATGCCCACGACATTTTGATGAGTTAATCTGTCCAGACGCACAGATTAAATTTCCTTAAATACACGGCAATTTCAAATGCCAGAGTAAAGAGAGGGGAAAACAAACAAAAAAACCCCACTCTTATTGGCAAAAGACTAAAAAAATCTGCAGTACTCAAACCGCATGAAAGCTAGTTAGAATCATTTTTGGAAGCACCAAACATGGCATGGATCTCTCATTAAAAATCACTGTTCTATAGATTTCATAGGATTTAGGACTAGAAGAGACCTTAGAGATTAGTTGAAAATGTGTGATTGTTGTCTCAGAAATAACAAATTTATATGAATAATTCCTAGCACAGTGCTATACACATGGTAAGTGTGTCAGTAACTACTTGTCCATTTGATTTGAATAAATTGTTGAAGAAAGTGAGGGAGGAAATAAGAATGGAAGAAAGAAAAGAAAGAATGAAAAGCAAAGATTCAGTTGACTCAGCAAAGGGATCAGGCTAAGATTTCTAATCCCATGTTTACTCTTGGCTCTCTGTGTGACCTTGGGCAAGTCATGATCCATTTCTGTGTCTCTGAAGCTTCATCTGCAAAAAATAAAGGATAGCAACCCACCTTATAAGAAGGGTGCCAAATAAAAGCTCAACCTGAAAGCAGCATTTCTTTTTTTTTTTCTTTCTTTTTTTTTTTTTTAGTGAGGCAGTTTGGGTTAGGTGACTTGCCCCAAGGTCACACAGCTAGTACATGTCAAGTGTTTGGTCTGACGTTGGATTTGAACTCAGGTCCTCCTGACTTCAGGGCCGGTGCTCTATCCACTGTGCCATTTAGCTGCCCCTGAAAGCAGCATTTCTTAAGCACTTACTGTGAGCAGAGCTTCCTGGGGACTTAATAGAATGTACAGTGCTTATATTTAAGAAGAGCTTACTATCTTATAGAGGGGATGGAACAAATGTGCATGAACACAAACAACAGAAACTAATAAAGTGTGTAGGATCAAGGTAAATGGGGAGATACTTGAGTCAAGAAGACCAATTAGCTGTTTCAATAATCGAGGCTGGAGCTGATGAAGCCCTGAATGAAGATGGGTGAGTAGAGAGAAAGATCTGGATGCAATAGATGTCGAGAAGGTAGTAACAGAAGATTTGGCAACTGACTGGGTATGTGGAGGGATTGAGAATGAGGAGTTGAAGATAATACCAAGGTTACAACCTTGAAAAAGTAAAAAGATGGTTGTGCCCTTAAGAATAATAGGAAGTTTGAAGGAGGGAAAGTTTGGGAGGAAAGAGAGTGAATTTGGTTTTGGATGTGTTAAGTTCAAGATGTCTCCAGGATTGGGTGATGTCTGTCTGTCTAGCTATCTGTCTCTGTCTATCTGTCCCTGTCTGTCTCTCTCTCTATCTGTCTGTCTGTCTCTGCCTGTCTTTCTGTCTCTGTCTATCTATCCATCTCCCAGGGCTGGTACATAAATCTGGGAGCCATCTGCATCTAGATGATGGTAAGTTCATCAGTTCCTGTGAATTTAACTAAAAGGGTACAGAGGGAGAAGAGAAGGGGGCCTAGGGACAGAACCTTCAGGATGTACCCACTGATAGGGGGGGGAATATGGATGACAAGCAGCAAAGAAGGCTGATAAGGAGCAATCAGACAGGTAGGAGGAGAAGTAGGGGAGAGTGTGCCACAAAAATCCAGAGGAAAGAATATCCAGGAGAGGGGAGCAGTCAACAGGGCTAAATGGAGCAGATAGGTCAAGAGGGATCAGTACTGAGAAAAGACCATGGGACCTGGCAATGAAAAAAAATCACTGGTAACTTTGGAGTGAGCAGTTTCAACGTAGTGTTGAGGCCAGAAGTCAGATTTCAAAGGGTTGAGAATGGATGCAGTGAGAGGAAATTGAGTAAGCAAGTATAGATAGCTTATCTAAGCAGTTTGGCTGAGAAAGGGAGGAGAGATGTAGGATGGTAGCTTAAGGGAATTGTAGGGCCTAGGAAAGGTTTTTTGTTTGTTTCTTTGTTGTAGTGTGGGGAGATGGGCATAGGGAGATGGGTAAGGAACGAATATGTAGGGAGACTTTGAAGATTTGAGAAAGTGGGGCTGATTGAGGATGCACACTTCTAGAGCAGTTAGGAGGTGCTGAGATCAAGTGCAAATGTAGAGGGCTGGCCTCGGCTTCTTTGTTAAAGAGCAGCCATGTTTGTGTCCCTCATTTGCATTCCAGAATCTGGCACCATGGCTTCAGTCTTCATGGAAAAAGGGCGAGAAGATTCTGAGTGAAGTTAGCCTGTGGATGTGCAAGAGGCTTCCCATAGACACAATGTTGTTATTTCAGTCATGTCTGACTCTTCATGATCCCGTTTGGGTTTTTCTTGGCAGAGATACTAGAGCGGTTTGCCTTCTCCAGCTCATTTGAAGATGAGGAAACTGAAGCAGAGTTAAGTAATTTGCCTATGGTCACACAGCTAGTGAGAATCTAAGGCTGGATTTGAACTCAGATCTTCCTGACTTCAGGCCCAGTACTTTACCCACTGTGCCACCTAGCTGCCCACAGATACCATAGTATAGTGGAAAAGGCTCTTGATTTGGAGTCACAAAACCTGGATTGGAATCCTGGGTTAGCCACTGGGTGACTTCTGCCTTTGGACCCCAATTTCCTCATCCATGAAATGACCAGGTTGAACTACATCTCCTAGGGATCAGAGATCCAGAGCTGGCAGATACTTTAGTCCAACCCCCTTATTTTACAGATGAAGAAGCTGAGGCCCAGAGAAGTTAAGTAGTCTGTCTGAGGCCACCTCTAAGACCCCTTCCAATTCAAAGTCCTATGATGAGAGATTTGGAAAATTGCCTTATTTTAGTCACCATCCCTCACTAGCTGTTGTCTGAAATAAAGGTACTACTTGCATGTGTGTGTTATGCCTTCCTTTCCATCCATCAACAGAGTGGCTTTAAAGGAAGCACTTCATCATCTGTGAGGCACTCAACAAATATAGATGATTAGCAAAAGCAGTAGCAACAGCAGTAATAGCTGCAGTGATGATAGTCATAGCAATAAGAAAGGACATCTCACTTAAGCATGGCTGGCCATCTGGTCACAGTTAACAAACCATTTTATTTTTATTTCCTTTTTTTCCCCAAGGAAACCAAAGTCTGAAGAGGACTTGCCCATGAATCAAGTGATGAATTGGGGCTAATGCCAAGAACATGGACTTCTGACTTCAGGGCTCTCTCTCTGTTTAAAAACAAATTTTCCTTTCCTGCCTCTGACTTTTCTTTAGGTTCCTTTCTTCCCTGATGAATTGAATGGGGATCTCAAAACTGCCCCATCTTTGACCCACACATCAATAGTGTGGCAGCTAGGCATCACAGTGGATAGGGCCTGGAGTCAGGAAGACTCCTCTTTCTGAGTTCAAATCTAGCCTTAGTCACTTACTAGCTATGTGACCCTGGGCAAGTCACTTAACCCTATTTGCCTTAGTTTCCTCATCTATAAAATGAGCTGGAGAGGGAAATGGCAAATTACTCCACTGTCTTTGCCAAGAAAACCCTAAATGGGGTCATGAAGAGTCAGATACAACTGAAAAATGACTGAATGGAATGGTTCAATAGTATGTTAAGATGTTGGTTGATGCAGGGCAACCTTGTAAACCAATTTAAGAGTCTGTCATCCCATACTCATGAAAAAAAAAATAAACTCTACCTTTCTTGAGGACAAGCATGGCCATCTGACTCAAGGGCAAGAGCCAGAATTTAACCAGTGTCACTTCTAGTTAAAATTTGAAAATAATAATAGAGAAGTAGTTGCTAGTTGTGGTGTTTTGATGTATCTCTACACTGAGGTCATTTTAGGTCTTTGAAAGGACACAGTGTTATTTCTGACCATTGCAACAATTCACTTCTTTTTAAAAAAAATTTAATTATATTTTATTTGTTTCAGTCAGCAAAAAAACCTACCTTCTTTCCCTCCCACCCCCACTCCCAAATGAGAAGAAAAGAAAAACAGGTCCATTTTAAACATATATTCAGTCAATCAAAACAAATTACCACAGTGGCATGTCCAAAAAAAATATTTGTCTCCTTCTGGCCTCTGAGCCTTTCACCTCTCGCAGGAGTGGGGTAGCATGTTTCATCATTAGTCCTCTGGACAGCATTGCAATTCTTAATGGCATGTATTCATTCTGTTCACATGTGCTTATGTGTGAGCAGGGGCTATGGGTTAGCCATCTGGGATTTGGGAGATAAAGAGATGATAAAATCATTCTTTTCTAGCCTGCTCCAGAATCAGTATCTGCTTAATATGTGCAAGTGACTCAGTGGGATGGTAGTGGAGTGTGTGGATTTCTCTTGACAGTATCCATGATAGAATCATAGGATGCTGAGATTTGCACTGATACTTAAGCTCAGGTAACAATTTCTTTTCCCTGTCTCTTTATATAGAAGAGGATGCCAAAGACATTTGTTAAATAGGAATGTTGGAAAAACTTGATTAAGGAGAAAGAAATCCTGAGCCTACTCATAGAGCTAGTAAAGAAACCTTTGGAAAGTGAAATTGAATGCTCTGTAATTATAAGGACCAAATGTGGCTTCAGAGAAGAACGAAGACAACATAACTTCTCTTTGCATCATTGGGGGATTGTTGGCATAGAATGTTGCATATATCATTAGATACAGTTGTTTAGATCTCTGTTCCTGAAAAATTGTTGTCATTGGGCTCATAGAGTTCCTGGGTCTGTCTCAGCAGGTAGACTCCCAAGTAGTTGATGCTGTCTGCAGTTATTTGCAATAGAACTTTCCTCTTTCTATCTCTCCCTGCTGAGCTTTGTTGGTCAGAGACCTGATGATGTTGGTGGGTTTATCTGACATCTGCTGTGCAATTTATGTTCTTAGAGAGTTTATCTGGGGTTACACAGAAGTTAAATGACTTATCCAGAGCCATATAGTTAGTATGTGTCAGAGATTAAACTTGAACTCAGGTCTTCTTCATTCCAAGACTCTATCAATGATACCATGCTGCCTCTCAAAGAAAAATCACAGTAAAAAAATTCACTTCTGTTGAAACAGAAGTTGAGGAAACATGAATGATCTGCTCTTGGTGGACAAGATTTACCAGATCCTCATTGTGAAAGTAGGGAGAGAACAGGATTAGCCACTCACTGCTTGTCAGGTGAGTACAATAAAATCCAAGCTCTTTCCTAGCTGGTGTCAGATACCTCCATTGCTTTTTAAAGTAGAAGCTCCCAGGGGTAGTATAGTGGGCCAGGTTGACTGAGGCTAGTCTAGATCTAGAACACTGGTTTTGAGAGCTGACCAAAATGAGACACCAGTCTCATCCAAGTAGTCCATCCAAGAGTTAACAAAAGGAGGTTTACTTAACCACAACAGGAGAAGGATATTCAGCCAAGATACAGCATTGGATTCAGCTGAGCACAGTTTCCCCTTGTGGGAACCAGGAGCTACATCGGTGACCTGAGTCTTCTGAGTGAATTGTGTCTTCAAGATGATTTTACTGTCTTTTAAGGAAAAGAACTGGAATATTCTTCTTAACACAAGTGAGTACCATGTTGAATAAACTGAAAGCTCTTTGAAGACAGTCTAGAACATTTTTCATTTTTTTTTTATTCCCCAGCACTTAGCATGGAGTAAGTGCTTAATACACTTGTGTTGTATTATAGTATTGAATTTTAAATGTTATACAAAGTGTCTTTATTTCCAAATTGGCTGCTGCAGGGGGATGAATTTTTTTCAGCAGTATTAGCTCTTGAAGATCAGTCAATGACAGTCAACAAACATTTATTAAGCACCTACTAAGTGCCAGGAACTGTGCAAAGTGCTGGATCACTTACCAAATCCTAGAGGGGCTGTGATCTGCACCAGTGGAGGGAATATTCACAATGATGAAACTATGGATCTTTGAGGTATTTAATTGCCAGGATTTCTACGTTTCTAACTTTTTAACCACCCACCATGATGGTTACACATTTCAGTCTACTGGTGCTGCTCAAAACAAGCCTTCCTCTATGAGACAGGGGATGAAAGTTGGTATCAGCAGCAGCACAGCTGATATTTCCTTCATACTGTAAAGTTTGTGAAGCTTTATACATACACTATCACCTCCTTGCTTTTTGATGTGTGTGACCCTTTAGTACAAAATCATAGAATCCAAAGTCTAAAAGAGATTGTCTATTTTCCTAGTGTCTGGCATAATTGCATTTAAATCAACGCAGTGAGACAATTGCACAGCATTCATGGCACATACATTATCTCATTTGATCTTTATAAACGCCTTATGAACCCCCCTAGAGCAAGTCATCTTACATATGATGAAGCTGAGGCTGAGAGAAATAAAGTCACGTGACTGTGGTTTTATGGTGAGAGTCCATGGAATTTTGAAGCCTGGTTCATGGAATCATGGCTCCAGAGCTTGAAGGGACCTCGGAAGTCAATCAAGGACAACACCCCCAATTTACAGATGACGACACTAAGGCCCAAGGTCCCACAGGGAGGACTCAGAAGGTTTTAACCCACAGCCTCTGATTCCAGAGCCGGTCTTCTTTCTACAGTAATTCTAGCACACTTTTTGCCTGTTGATGGATGTCTGGGTCTATTTTTAAAAAAGACTGTCAGTGAAGGGGACATGGCCTCAGCAACCAGCTGCAATATTTAATTTAATCATCTTCACTTGATTTAGCTCTGCTGTTAGGAAATTCTTCCATTTCCCTAAAATGGAGTAGAGTGTGGGGCTGGGATGTGGGTAGAGTGAGAGAGGTTATAAAGAAGAATTACTGGAAATGTTTCCACTGAAAACACTCAGAAAAGGTATAACAGCAGAGAACATGAAATCGGCTTTTCGAGGGACTGGAGGTTTGATTGTCTTTTGGTGTAAATGAATCAATATTCTATTCTGGAGGCAGTCCATCTGGATCTTTGTCTTAGAGGAAACACCATGTCCCTACCAAGTCTGAACTTTCTTTGTTTTCTCCCTGGAGAAAATATCATCCCTGTCACTTCTGAGAAATAGGCTTTTGGTGAAAAATCAAGCTAGCTTCAGTGAAACCCAGGCAATACCTTGGGCCTGAACAAAATGTTCCCTCATCAGATAGGCAGAATTAAGCTCACCAGATACTCATTAAGGCTCTCTTCTTTCCTGAAACAGAGGTGGTAAAGTGGATAGAGAACCAGACCTGGGGTCAGGAAGGTCTGAGTTCATTTAAATCTAGCCTCAGACACTTATTAGCTGTGGGACCTTGGGCAAGTCACTTAACCTCTGTTTGCCTCAGTTTCCTCATCTGTAAAATGGGGATAATAATAGCACCTACCTCTTAGGGTTGCTGTGTGGATCAAATGAGATAATATTCACGAAGTGCTTAGCATAGTATCTGATACATAGTAGGTTCTATATAAATATTATTATTATTATTATTATTATTATTACCATTACTATTACTACTACTACTTAATGGCTACTGGCAATGTACTACATGGAATCATAGGACCACGGATTTAGAACTAAAAGGGACCTTAGACGTCGTTGAGTTTAACTCCCTTGTTTTACAGATGAAGAAATTAAGGCCCCAAAAGAATAAGCAATTTGTCCAGGGATATACAAGGTCATAGTGTCTGAAGCAGGATTTAAACTCAGGTCATCCTGGTCTGGTCTTCTTAATAGATATGGGAGTCCTCTCAGGAGATGGGAAATTGGGGAGGGGGTGAGGGTAGTACAAAAGAAGAAGGAAATGAAACAATAGGAGTGATCTTGGGAAACTCACTTTCCCCTTTATGTGCCTCAGTTTCTTCATCTGTAAAATAAGGGTCAAATTATCAATCAACAAGCATTTATGAAGCACCTACTATAGGGAAGAACAATTCTTTTTTTTTTTAATTCCTTAAATTAATTAATTTATTTTTAATGTTCAACATTCACTTTTATAAGATTTTGAGTTCTGAATTTTCTCCCTCTCCCTCCCCTCTCCACTCCAAGATGGCATCCAATCTGATATAGGCTATACATGTACAGTCATATTAAACATTTCCACATTAGTCATTTCCACATTCCACATTGTAAAGAAGAATAGGAACCAAAGGGAAAAAACACGAGAAAGAAAAAACAAAGCAAAAAAAAAAAAAAAAGAGACAGAGAAAATAATATGCTGAGATCTGCATTCAGACTCCATACTTTTTTCTCTGGATGTGGATAGCATTTTCCATCATGAATCTTTTGGAATTGTCTTAGATCACTGCATTGCTGAGAAGGGGAAGGGGAATTCTATTGTCTTCACTACATGGTTTGGAAAGAGAGCATGTTTGTTACAGAATTTTCTTTCTAGGTAAAGGAGGGAGGTGAGGGGAGGATAGCTGTTAAGGTTAGGAGATGACTATGAAGGCACCAGCCAAGGGGTTCAGGTTTAAACGATGTTGGAAATATCCAAACTGATTCATGAGGGCAGCAAAGTGGAGGCAATAGATGAAGAGTGCCATCTTTCTTGACCCACAGGTTTTATGCAATTTTGGCTCAACTTCACTTCAAAAGGAATTTTGTGGACTATGGTTTAAGTATATTCCATGAATGGAAGAAACTACTATGGAAGGAACAACCAGAAAACCTTCTGTTGATAATGCAGTGGGGAACTTGAGCATTAGTTCTCTCCACAGCTCCTTTAACCTGGGAGGCTATTTCTAAGCTCAGCCTCTCAGTTCTAGAAAAGGTATGTTGAGTTTTCTCACCTTGTTCTCTTTTCTCACTCAATGTTCGCGGTGCAAAATCAAAGAAATGTGCTATCTTCATCAGAATTAGCTTCTTCCCTTTAAAAAAAATGCATAAAAGTCAGCCAGAGATATTGTTCTTTGCCAGCAGATTATATTAATGACTATATATTATAACTAATTATAACTAATGACTAAAGAATTGGATGTGTGTCATTTATAATCTTAGGGCCTTATTGCCAGTTAGACTTTGGCAATAACTTCTACCTGCCCCAACTCCTCCTCCCATGCCACCTCCCTGCCATTCATCTTTCACACAGCCAGCAAAGTGGTTTTCCTAAACAAAGCATGGATCTGACCATGTCATTCATTCATTTATTCAATAAGCATTTATTAAGCACCTGACACTATGCCAGGCATACTAAGTATTGGGATTACAGAAGGAGACAAAAGACAGTTCTTGCCCTCAAGGGCTTACAATCTAATGGGGGAGATAATACACAGACAATGATATACAAAGCAAGCTATATATAGGATAAATAAGAAATAATTAAGAGAGAAAAGGCACTGGAATTGAGAGGAGTTAGGAAAGGCTTCCTGTAGAAGGTGGGCTTTTAGTTGGGACTTAAAGGAAGCCAGGGAGGTCAGTAGTCTGAGGGGAGGAGGCAGAGCATTCCAAGTATGGGGGACAGCTGAAAAGAATGGCCAGAGATGGGATGTCTTGTACATGTAATACCCAGGAAGCTAGTGTTACCCAAAAGCCCTTTCAATAAATGCCAATGGCTTCCTATTACTGCTAGGTCAGACATAAATTCTTCCATTTGGCATTTAAAGTTAATTACAATCTGGTGCCAACCTACTTTTCCAGGTGTATTGCCCATTAACCTCCTTTATCCATATTGTTTACTGTCAAGTCAAACTCTCCTCCCTCTGCCTCATAAATGACACCATGTCTTTGGTTTCTATGTATTTGGACAGGCTGTCCCCAGGCCTTAGATCTACTGTCTCTTCACTCTCACCTTTTAGAATTCCTAGATTCTTTTAAGGCTCAATTCAAGTGTTGCTCCGTACATAAAGCTTCTCCATCACCCCTAGATGCTAAATGCCTTCTCCTCAAGCTGCCTTGTATGTACGGTGCACATATTTTGTTGGGTCTCTGCTAATACAAGAATCACTTTAGAGTCATTTAGGAGGCCCCATGATATTCACTTGTCTTTGGGAAAGTGAAGACTATTTCAATCACATAGTTCATTATATCTAGCTGCCACCAGCCAGGATCATGCTTCATATCCTATTCAGCTGTCTATCCTCATCATCTTCTTGCTGTCTGCCCTGATATCATGTGTTCCTTGCCTTTCCTTTTCTACCTCCTATTCTGGGAACAGCAATCAAATCAATACTATCACTACTTCTAGAAGAGACTGTTATTTAGTTCAGCTAGATGGCATAGTGGATTGATCGCCGGGACTGAAGTCAAAAAGATTCATCTTCCTAAGTTCAAATCTGGCCTCAGACACTTACTATACATAGTATCTTTATTTCCCAATATATACTCACTCCTTTCCCCTTGAGAATCATCCCCTATAACAAAGAACAAAAAAGAAAAAAAATCAAGCAAAACTTATCAACCAAATTCAACATTCTATACAATGTTCCATACCCACCATCCCTCACATCTGTAAAGAAAGGAGGGAGGCACATTCTCACATCACTTTTGGTTGGGAGGTGGTGGGGTTTGGAATAGCTAGGTGGCCAGTCCTGGAGTCAGGGAGACTCATCTTCTTGAGTTCAAATCTGACCTCAGATAATTACTATCTGTGTGACCCTGGACAAGTCATTTAACCATCTTTGTCTCAGTTTCCTCATCTGTAAAATGAGCTAGAGAAGGAAATGGCAAACCACTCCATTATTTTTGCCAAGAAAACCCCAAAAGTGGTCACAAAGAGTCAGAAAATTGAACATGACTAAACAAGTTTGGATACAGGGAGAAAGGGTGGGAGAGCAGGCTAGGATCAAGGTGGAGAAGGTTGGAATGAGGGAAAGGGGAAAGGGAAACCACTCGGAGATAACAGGACTGGGAACAGTGGCGCATGGACACTGGAGTTCTAATCTTAGGTTTCCCTTGTTTCACAGCTTTGCCTAGGTCAAAGATGCTTCATCGCTCAAAAGAGCACACAGACCTAATGGACTAGAATACTTGCACGTAGCCTTGCTATCATATCAGCAAGTCTGCCCAAGTTGCTCCCTACCCTCAGAGAGCTTTAGTGGCTTTTTCTTGTCTTGGCTGTAATTATAAACTCCTTATTTTGGTATTTAAAGCCCTTTACTTTTTGGCTTCAGGCTATCTTTCCAAGCTCATTGCACATTACTGTCTTTCAGCCTCTCTATGATTCCCCCCAAATAGCCTCTTTGCTCAGGCATGCCGTCTTCCATCTCCATGTCTTCAGGCAAGTGGTACCCTGTCCTGGAATGCACTCGCTCCTCCCACCCACCTATAGAATCCCTGGTTTCCTTCAAGGATCTGTCATGTCCTATCTCTTACAGGGAGCCTTTCCTATTCATAACAGATGCTACAGTCTTCTCTTGCTCCTGAAATTACTTAATTTTTTTCATTTATTTACCTATGTACATTTTGTCACGCAACCCTCCCCCCCGCCCCTTTAGAGTGTAAACTTCTTGAGGATGGGGAGACCTTTTCATTTTTATCTTTCCATCTGGCCTCAGACACTTGCTAACTGTGAGACCCTGGGCAAGTCACTCAACTATGCCTCAGTTTCCTCATCTGTAAAATGAGCTGGAGAAGGAAATGGTAAACCACTCCTGTATTCTTGCCAACAAAATCCTAAATGGGGTCACAAAGAGTTGGACATAACTGAACAACCATCACCACCACCGTCACCACTGTACCTGGCATGTGGTAAGCTCTTGAAAAATGTTTATTGAATGAATTGTGGTGATACGTGCATAACAGTCTTTCTGGCAAGGCTTGAATTGAACTGGCTGGCTTGTGAGAGAATCTAGGTGTCTAAACACCCTGGAAGTTGTATTTCTTCAGAGCTCTGAAAGACAGGGAATGATTTCTGCTAGATCAGCAAGTTTTGTTTTTGTTTTTTAAATTCCCCAGAGAGAATACATGGAGAAGAAGGGATGGTCGGGCTGTCTCCAGTCATTAGAAATTTGCCACAGCAAGGTGGTGACATTGGCAGTCCACTCCATCCCCCCATCAATTGCCCAAGCCTATGCCTCTAGGAAGACTGGAGAGGGGAAAGGTAAATGGGCAAGCCGTGAGGTTGTGATGGTGTTTGGAGCATCTGTTCCAGTGGCTAGAGTGCTAGATTGTGAGCAATATAGTGGAACTGGCCAGTTTATCTGAGTTTCTGTGAATATTCTTTTCTTCTGTTAAAGACTGTATCTGACTCACCTGATCCTACTTCTCATAAACACCTGTGGTTGAGCCTGTCCTTCACATTTCTTTGAGTCCCAGTTTTGTGGCATGAGGGCAAGAGAACCCTTTGGGAGCTGCAGTAGAGTAGTGTGATTTTTCCTGGTTCATGCCGAGGATCTCAACACCTCAACTTATTATTGGAGGGTTTTCTTATATCGTGAGCCATTTGCGTGTTCTGCAAGTAAACTCCCAAAGGCCAGATAACTATGAATCTGGTACTTTCCATTCTGCCCCATCATACCACAAGCAAGCCTAACCTATGATGATATCTAATGCCAAGGGGCAGAGATGTGCTGGTAAATGGTTAACAACTGGCTCCTTGGAGAAAGAAAAAAGTACATATAGCACACTTTTAAGTTTAATTTGCATTATTAACATTTTCCTCTATCATTTTAAATCTAGACAATCAATGAAGCAGCAAATCAGTAAATGCTAATGGAAAATTTAACAATTTATACATGTTCATTTTTCTTGACTTTCCATTAGAATACAACCTTCTCGAGTCAGCATGTATTAAACACCTACTGTGTGCCAGGCACTGTGCCAGATGCTGGGTGGGGATACAAAGAGAGGCAAAAACTGTCTCTGTCTTCAAGGAGCTCACAGTCTAATGGTGGTGGTGGGGGGAGAGATAACATAGAAACAACGATGTACAAACAAGATATATTCAGGATAAATTGAGAGTAGGCACTAAGATGTGTCTTCAAGAAAAAAACCACCAGTCTTCTTCTACAATTCCACATACGTTCCACACATGCTGGAGATTTAATGAATGTTGGTTGACAGCCAGAGAAAACCAGTGGGGAAGCAGAGATGATCAGGAAGCAGAGTGAGGTGTGGGTAGGCTGAAGACTCCTGCATTTGGAATCATCAGACATGGGTTTAGAGCCTGGCTCTGTTGTGTCCTAACCATGTGACCCTGGGCAAAACGCTTCCTTTTTCTGGGGCTCACAGTTCCCCCATCTGTAAAAGTGATGATGGCACCCTCCCTTAGGATTCTCTGCAGGGTCATTCCAGCCCATCATCTTATACTCTGGCCTATCGTGATAGCCTGCTGGTTGTTTTCTCTGCCTCCCTCCTGACTCCAATCCATCCTCCACTTAGCTGTCAAACTGATCTTCCTAAAACACAGGTCTGACTCTATCATCCTCCCCTCCAATTAATAAATTCCCAATGCCTCTCTGTTATCTCCAGGATCAAATATAGAATCTTCTGTTTGACTTTCAGACCCTGTGTAGTCTGGTCCCTTCCTGTCTTTCCAGTCTTCTTTTCCCTGACTGCCCTCCAAGTACTCTGATATTCAGGGACACCGGCCTCTTGGCTGTTCCTCGAAAATGACACCCCGTCTCCTGACTCCAGGCATATTCTCTGGTTGTTTCCCATGCCTGGAATGTTCTCTGTCTACATCTCTGCCTCCTTGTTTGCCTGGCTTCCTTCAAGTCTCAGCTAAAATCCTGCCTGATATAGGAAGTCTTTCCCAATTCCCCTTAATTCTAGTGCCTTCCCGCTGAGGATTATTTACAATTGTTCTATATTTAGCTTGATTGTAAATGTTGTGCAATCGTTTTTCAGTTGTGTCTGACTCATTGTGACCCCATTTGAGGCTTTCTTGGCAAAGATACTGGAGTGATTTGTCATTTCCTTCTCCAGCTCATTTTACAGAGGAGGAAACTGAGGCAAACAGTTATGTGACTTGCCCAGGGTCACGCAGCTAGCAAGTGTCTGAAGCTGCATTTGAACTCAGAGAGATGAATCTTCCTGATTCCATGCCTGGCATTCTATCCACTGAGCCATCCAGCTATCCATTTGATTGTCCGTTGTTGCTTGTGATTATACATAGTTGTTTTCATATTATCTTGTTAGAGTATAAGCTCCCTGAGAGCAGGGACTGTCTTTTGCTTTAGCACAGTGTCTGACACATAGTAAGCATTTAATAAATGCCTGTTAATTGATTGCTCCCCGATATCCCCTTTACTCTTGCGAGGGAGTCACTTTTCCTGAACGGTTAGGTGTGGAGATAAAAATTGTAGAAACCCAAGGCTTTAAGAAAACTAAAAATAAATAATTCCTGGACCCAAAGGAAAGGACTGTGATAGGTAAGAGTGACATCTGGTGGTTTTTAGATTTGCTACCCTCTGCCACAGGTGTCTTGGTTAGTAGAGCTTTTGCCAGCTTGACATTGGACTTGGACTCACCCCCGCTCTTACTTTCTTTTAAAGTTTTAACAGGATAAGGAAGGAAGGAACAATGGAAAAAGTATTTTGAGAGGAAGATATGTTGTATGGGAAACTAAAAACATGACTTGCAGATAGTGGGAGAGAGTGAGACATAGGAAAGTTTGTCTCTAAGAAAATATTAAATTATTATTAAATTAAAATATTAAATGTTAAATTCTACAACATCCTGACAATGATAACAATAATTATAATAGTAGCTAGCATTTCTACAGCCTCTGCTATTTGCCAGGTTTTGTGCTAAGTGCTTTACAAATTATCTCATTTGATTCTCATGACAACCCTGGGAGGTAGGTGCTGTTATTATCCTTATTTCACAATTGAGGAAATTGAGGCAGATGGAGATTAAGGGACTTACTCAAGGTCACTCGGCTAGTAACTGTCCAAGGCCCAATTTGGACTCAGGTCTTCCAGAGTTCAGGTCTAACTCTCTAATCATTAGGTCACCTAGCTGCCAATAGAATCCCACAGCAGCACTCAGAATACCAAGCTATTATCAGTAACAAATAATAGGCTGCACTTGGCAGTTATTCATTGTCATTATGTTAGGTCTAAAACATGTTCTAGACCTCTGGCTCAATTGTGTTTGTTACCCATTTAGGAGGTGGTCATTTCACCTTCTAATTTCTTTTTTCCAACAACAGATTACTGCATGTATTTGGCCAACAGGACCTGTGCTATTCTAGCAAGTTAAGACCAGATTGATCTGAGTCATAATGATGTTATGTTCTCTAGAGCATAACGGTCTCTCAGACCAAAGACAGGAAAGAATTTACCCAGTGAGATTCTTTAGAGTAGAGTTTGAGGAACTCAAGCAAGATTTCTTCCCAAACTTCTGCTTTTATTTTGGGATAGATTTATTCCATTCCAGTAATTCTATAGCAGCAACCCAAATGCCCTTTGCCTCCTCAGATGCCAGGTCTTGACAATGTGGAAATACTGAGATGGTACTGGTAATGGCTATAGAGTCTGACCAATTAACCTATAGTCTGGAAAACTAAATTCCATAAACATGGTCCAGAACAGGCCATCTATGGCCTCAAGGTCACATGTGGCCTTCTAGGTCCTCAAGTGTGGCCAATACTTGGATTTGGGCTGCACTTGAGGGCCTAGAGGGCCACATGTGACCTTGAGGCCTCAGGTTCTTCACCCCTGATTTAGAATAAATAGATTAGCCTTTAAGTAGCATGTGAAGAATTTCAAAGCACTTTATGTTGTTATTTCCTTAGGCAGGATCTGAAGCTGTTTTCCTGATCGCAGGTCTAAAATTCTCTCTACTATATTACCCAGCTATCTGGCTATAGAAATAATTTCACTTCTATAAATCTTCATTTCTTCAACAGAAAGATAACAGTTGATATCTATGTAGCTTAAATAGCTTAAAACTGCCCTAAGACTTTTGTGACTTTTGGGACTAATAGAACCCTTCACCTCTTGTTTCATTTGACTACATTATCAGACCTGAAGGGTAGCCAGGGCAGGGATTATTGCATTTTAATGTAGGGTGAGATATTTTAAAAATTGTGTGTTTGTACACACACACACACATATGTATGTTCATACATACATACATATATGTATGTGTGCATATATTATATATATATATATATAACTATAAGAATAATGAAAGAAATATGAATAAGATGCCAGATAATGGAACAATATTTCCAGGTTGTTAGGTCCCTGTGTGTCCTTGCATAGAACACTGAAATATTCAAAGTGCTGCTTATCTCCTAGTCTACTAGATAAAAATTCAATCCTCTTTACCATATATGTGTGTATGTATGTACACATATACATATATTTGTATATGTACATATGCACATATATTTTTAAGATGTCTTCCATTTCCTTGTCCATAAAATGAGGGAGTTGAACACTGTGCATGTTTGTGTTTGAGCTGGAAGATAACCTTAGAGATCAAGGTCCCCCCATTTCCCCTGCCCCCTTTTACAGATAAGGAAGAGGAATGTCAGAGTTTAAATCAGTCACCCAAGGTCACACAGTTAATTTGTGGCACGGTTGATTGCTGTCATCAGGGTTCTTTCCACTCCGTGAAATTGCTTGTCC